GCGGTAATAGTTAGCTTCCCACACTATACAAGTACAATATATATTTACGTACAATACTAAACCCGGCACAGGAAAGTGATTCTAATTGGGCTTTGACTTAACCGTTTTAAATCCGAACTTGCTTGTTCACAAGCGAAGGAAAATTTTCCTGATTTCACTTAACCAAAGCTAGATGGGACTAGTGTGAGCCTTTCCTAAGAGGGGAAATCCCTAAGAATTATCCTTGACTCAAAACTTACGTGGACAAGCAACATCGAATAAAAGCATAGAAGGGTCTAGCAACATACTATATCTGCTAAAGGACCACCGGAAAAAACTCTGACCAACACCGAACGTAGTTCATAGTAGATGCGTACACTATAGTCATCCGACAGTTTATTACTAGACTAAAGTAGCAATAAGAATTTAATCTGAAGAGTGCAGTACATCAGGCGCTATAGCAGTGTACCTGAAGAATGGCTGTATATGATTCTTTATTTGAAGCCGCTACAGCTGAAAAAGGAGTCCTAACATTAAGAAAATGAAAATGATGGAAACAGACCGCATATGGAAACCCAGCGATCTTGGGTCAGCTTAAAATGCAACGCGTGCATGAGATAAAGCCAGCTTGGATTTCGAAACTGAATACAACAAGTCATTCTGTTTTAGGATTCTTATAAAATTTCGAACCATCTATGAATGGAACATTGGCCTAATGATGGGAACTTTGGTAATTTCATCTACATCGATGGAAAAAGGCTTCAGCGCGGTGCTATATTCAGAGAATCTGCAGACAGGGCAATCTATCGACTGTCTCGTAGAATAGTGAATATCTTTTTGGAACACTATCCTCTTTGACAGTCAAGCGGTATTGAGACTACTAAGATCGAAAGAAGTGAACTAAGGAATTACCGCACATCTCTAGCATCACTGAGTGCCGTAAAAGCTTCTCTCTGCTGGGTTCCTGGGCATAGTAATATGGAACACAATAAAATAGCCGATAAGATGGCTAGGCACTGTTCGGAAATGCAGAGAATACGAGTACTCAAGAGATAAAACAAATTACCTATGGAACAATCGAGACGACTGTGAAATATCAAGGCCTTAATGGCCGAGGCTTAACAAAAAAGGAACTGGGAAACTCTTTATATTAAACAAATCTGCAAAAAGGATTTCATTCGAAGTAGGAAGAGCAAATGGTTTACCAACACAAACTAACGACACTTTGTAAAAACTCCGGTTAGAGGGCTCTTCCTGACTTTTTTTTATGACATAATTTCAAAGTGTGTGTATCGTTGAAAAGTTATTTATGAGCTCTAAATATTCCTCTTAGACACTGTCGACTTATTGCAGATATACGCACGCCATAGAACAACAATTTTTTGTCGACAATTGTCGGAAGAAAATCAACAAATAACAGTTTTACTTATTTTCATTACGTAGTTCGACAGACTTTCATGAGCGCTCGTAATTCTAGTTGAAATATCCCACACCGTCTCGCCCTGAAGAGGCGTGGTATAGAAAGCATTCTACAGCCCTATGGTGAAGTATCACGACATCGGGACTTTTTGGTGATGCATCGGGAAGCCTTGTTTCGTCGCTAAGGACTAACCTTTTTCAATGCGTCGCTTAGTGTAGTCGGCACTTCATCTGGCGTTTTAATGTTGAGCGCCGCCAGTGATGTTCTCTCAATGCTCTTTCATTTCTGAGCCGCTATTTCTAGGAAACTACAAGCAGTGTACGCAAATTCATAACTGTATCAAAATGCTTCGCCTAAAGTGCATAGAAAATGGACAAGTGGTCACACCATTCGTAGCCCAAGGACTTTATAGTACAGATTAAGGAGACTGAATACATGTATTACTCAAGAAAATATATTCTAGGGAAAGCTGAATGACAAAATTTTTTTCATAGTTAGCCTATCAAAAAACTTGTCGCAAGATTACGATATCGATACGAATATTGTCGATAAGTGGTTACAGAATAGCACTATTCTTTAAGATGTTGCATTTTATGCATTCAGTGAGCCTTTAATTTTTTAAATTTTCGCTAGCTCCCTTATTGGAGTTCTAGGAAGTAGACAACACATCGCAAGCTCACCAGCAAATTTCAAACGAATTTCAGTTCACTCCAGCCACCACATCTGTTTTGATTTACTGGAATTTCTTTACACTTCGACGCACAAAACACTTCAATTCACATTCGCTGCTATTGCTTCTTTAATATTGTTGTTGTTATTGTAACTTTGGTAAATAATGTACGCAATTAAAAATATTTTTGATGTGTAAACATCTTTGCCTTCGGTATGGGTAAAATTTACGTTAACTCACTAATTCTTCTTTTTGGTAACATAGCAGAAAGTCTGTAATTTTTCATTAGAAACAGCCTATGTTTGTTGTTTTTTCTAAGAGAATTCCACAACGCAAACTTACCGTTTACAACTTTTCGCTGCATAGTTTCAGGCATATGAACTCCAGTAGTGTATTGATGAAAAAAGGGCAGAAATTTAAAAAAATTACGAAATTATTTTCAATTGCAGGTTTTATGTGGTGTGTGGTGTGATTTTGTTCCTGCTACGCGTAACAGTTCATTCCCACCAAGCCTTAACTGCAGTTAATGCCTATTCAAAAAAGGAGACTACAACTCGAAGGAGGTAATTGCTCATACTAAGTACAAGCAATCGAAAGCAAAAAAGCAAAAAGTAAGAAATAAACTTTGCTGATCAACCCATGTCAACGTTCCTTGAATTTAGTTTTCAGGGATGCATTCCCAGAGGTCTAATTTAAAATATAGGAAAAGAATAATTAGAGAGTTGCCACCTGTTTGAAAATTATAGTTTAAGTAAATTGATAATATAAACTAAATATCGCAATATGGCGGTCAAAAGAAAGAGGTTAAACCGCTTACAGCCGAAGGTATTATTGTGGAAGGTTATCGTTTGTTTGAAATTTTAATTTGATTTAATTGATAAGATAAATAAAATATTGCAATATGGGTATCAAATCGAAGAGGTATAGGAAAGCTTACTGCCAAAAGTATTTGTTAAGGAGTGTTACTACCTGTTTGGAAAAATTTATTTAATTATTAAGTTGATAAAATAAATGAAGTATTACAGTACGGGTTTAAGAAAGTTTACTGTCCAAAATATTTGTGTGGCTTATTGCCACCTATTTGAAAAATTTAATTCAGTTAATGCACCTTTGAAGAAAATGCACGAAATGTGGAATCGAGTTATATGATTACAAATTAAATTTCCAGGATTAGATACATTAGAAATATATTAACTGACACCCACATTCATACAAAATGAAGTTTGCTTCATAAATCGAAAATTTGTTTGAAAATTTAACTTCATAAAGCTTTTCAAATCTATTTTACTTTTTAGAAATGAAGCCCTAAGAGTTTTGAGAGGGAGTAACAATATACATTTTTGTTTAAGGCACAGTGAATCACGCCAGACTTATGATATTCGCGGCTTATTAGGATCATCGAAAAGCTTGCTTTCTTTCCAGCCTCACACAAATAATCTAATGAAAAAATTACATTTCACCTATATACATACATATGTACATATATCGAAGACGTATAGCTTCCTAGCGGAAATTTTTATGAAAGAAGTTAATGAAACCTCCATTCCAATCCAAATGAACACGCGCTCACAAACACTTTACGAAATCTGCTCCTAGATACACACGTACAAACATATTAAGCACTTTCCTGCTTCCAATATGCTCTGTGGGAATTCGATGAATCTTTGCCTGTGTTGCAAATCATATTTGTAAACTATTCCTTTAGCAATTTGTTTTAAATAACCTTCAAACAATTTCCACAACACAGCAACATAGTCAATTTTACGGCGAGCGTACATGTTGCAGACAGTGTTGCCACTTTGAAGATATCTTTCATATCAACTTGTTTGCAAAAACTACTGAAACTATTGTTGCTTACCAAATAAAATCTAAGGACAATTTTTTTGCAAAATATTGATATTTTTATTGTAGAAAGCACAAAAGCAATATTCCAGTTTTTATTTTGTGACAACTATAGAGCAACTGTGACAACAGAGAGCTTTCAAAAGCGCCATTATAAATACATGGTCCGATTTTACCGAGGCGGCAACGCTGGTTGCATACAAACAGCTGGGATTACTTGTGCCAAAGAGTGTATAAAATGAGCAATTCTTATGCACATATTTGCTTATGCACACATGTGCATATGAAAAATGTGTAAAACTTTGCCGACGTTTGGGAGGATTGGCGTAGTGTATGCATGATGGCACATTAATGCAGTTAGTAAAACTACGTCCATGTTTAGTATGTGGGAAATTTCTGCAGTTTGAAACTTTCGTTGGATATCTGGAGAATTTTCTAAATTGAAATTACATATAAGTTATATGATATAACAAATGATGAGATCAAAGTGATTGGAAAGTTTTTTTTGTTTTTTTTTTGCGAATCGGTTTTAGTTTACCAGGATAAAAAGGGCGTCTTAAGTAGCCATGTCATATTGTCATAATACAATAATTTTTTTGATGATTCTCAGCAAACACTACACAATTTTAAATTTAAAAAAAAACTGTGTAAAAACTTAGTTATTACTAATTTGACCGTTGTAATGTAAATATATAAAAATTTGCAATGAGCTATCAAACGACTATTCTTAGCTTTATATGTAGGTACATACATATGCACAACAAAAAAATAAATTCAGCGTAAAGAAGCAGATAAGAAACTATGTAAATATTTTATCGTTCTTAAAAACAACAATAGTGCATAATGCCCCCGCAAGGACAGACACAGCCGGAAATTCGCACGAATATGCGCTGCTAAGCTGAAATTGCCACCAAGCATATCTTCCCCCTCACTCTTGCTCTAAGCTTTTACATTCCGCACTAAAAAAAGCTGTACACCACTGCGTATGAATAATATTTTTTATTTGGTTTCTTTTAACGCTTAGCAACTTCTAAATGGAATTGTAAATTGTTGTAGAAATATGTACTGCTATTTATGTTTAAAACTTACTTGTAACTGAGCGCGCCATTTTTCAAGTGGTTACCAACCAAATTGCTCTGGTTGCTATAGGGCAGTAGTGTAAGTTGTTGCTGTTGTTGTGGTTGTTGCTGTTGTTGCTCTTTCTGTTGCAGTTGTAACGTTGTTGGCTGTGTTAGCTGTGGCATTCCTATGCTTAACTGAGTATTTACATTTAAATTGACATTGGTTGTATCCACTACCGGAACCGCAACTACCATCGCTGTTGTTGTATTTGTTACATCAGTTGCTGTGCAGGCGGTGGTAGGTGTGGCGCAATGCTTTTGGTAGGCAACTGCAGCAGTGGCTATGACATTGCCACCACTTATGCAGACTACACCAGCAGCTTGTGGCACTATGACCGCACTGTCGGCTGTTTCTTTCGATACTAACGGTATATTTAATTTTTCTTCATCCATTTTAAAACTGAAAATTTTCTCTACTTGGCAAGTTGGTTAAATTTTTCGGCTAACACTTTGTGTTTTTGTGAAAATTTTATAGGGTTTTAAATAACATTTCCCTTAATACTATAACTGTTTTTTTTGTCGTTTTGTGAAAGCCTTCTGCTCTTTGCCCGCTGCTTTTTTTTTGTTGGAGTGATCCAGTGCCTCTGCTCCTTTTCTAGTCATCTGGCCAGCTGAGAGTTAGCGGTTTCTGCCATTGTTGGGAAATTTTATTTTGCACTTTATGGTTCTTGCATGGAGTATGAATTATTCAATATTATTGCTACTTTTCTCCGCAACACTTGTACACTTCATTTGCTGTGTTTTCTGCAGCATTTATATGGAGTAGAGGCTGTGATTTGGAATATTGGCGAAAAGGTTTTTGGAAAATTCTTTTAATGTTTTGTGACGTTAGCTAAACTAAATATATCTAGTTGCTTTAAATGCGCTGGATTACATTTTCATGACAGTACTTTTTTGTTATATTTTAATAAATAGGTGCTGAATAATAAAATGCTGCAAAGAAAATAAGAAAAATAAATTTGATTAGACTTAACGTATCTGAAACTTTATATAAATCGAATAATCTAGGTAAGGTAGTATACATTCATACATATATGAACAAATTTATCACGATTTGTTACATTTTTCGACAAAAACGTGTATATAACGTATACGCCCCGTAATACCATTAACTGTCAGCTAACACGTTTACTCGCACGCCTTAAATTAAAAGTCATATTATTTTAAAGTAACTAAATATTTGCGTGGAAGATTTTTACTCAGTATTTCCCATGCACATATATATTAATTTCTTCATATACATAAAAGTTTTAGAATAAATTTCAGGTGTGCCAATAAAAATTGTAAAAATTTAATTTTAGTTTCTCAAACCAAAGTCATCTTTTAATCAATGTATTTTTTTTCATTCGGTCTCACATTAGTTTTGTTACACCAGATTTGTTATTTTTTGCAGCAAGAAAATTTTCACAATGCCATTTAAATAACTTTATTTCTTTAGGCTAGTAAAGTTAGAAGGGCGGAAATTCGATGATCTGGCCGTATGTACATTAGCTCTTAACACAAATTTTTTCAAAAATAAATATTGCAAACTTTCAAGGATATTCAAGAATAGAATTATAATTATTAATTATTTTTAAGTACCTATTCGCCCTTATGCACCAAAAAACTGTAAACTTTTTTAATTCTACAGGATTTAAGCTTTTCTACCGACTTCAAAAATATGAGGAGGTTATCAATTCGTCGGTATTTTTATTTTTGTCATGAATGTTACCCCATGTACATATGTATGTGAGAATTGAAGTCAGTTTTGTTTTTTGCTTGAAAACTATTTGTTATATATTCTATATTTTTATTCTGCAATTCCTTGAGCAATCTAATGCCTAAACGGACAGCACGTGCGTCTGTACTGAAGATTCGGAGCGAAAAATGCAATAATGCTTTTATATTCTCCATGGCAGGTTCAGTCAAGTTGCTGTATTTTTATTCGGGGGAGTGGGTGTCTTGGTCCTGTGTAAGGTACAATGAAAGTTCAGAAGTTACGGAGCATGGCGTGGGATACTCAGTATCGGCGGTAGATAGTGCAGAAATTTGTATTAGTATTAATAGATTTGGTCCGCGTTTTAGTATTCATGTTCGTTTTCGTGCTCGTCTTCGGACTTGTGTATAAGTTAGCTAAATTCGAATTTTTAAACGGGTGGCAACACTCCTAAATATTGTTAAGAAATAAATAAATCTCTTGGGTCGGACGTTGGATACTTATTCCTGATGATTTAAATTAAGGTAAATTTTTATTAAATACGTGGCAAAACTTCTAAGCAAAGTTCAGAAATAAAACCTTTTTAAAAACATTTAATACCCTTTTTGTAATGATTCCTTCGACTTATTAAATAATTTGAGTTTATGTTTTTAAACAGGTGGCAACCCCCTTTAATATGCTAAAGTCTCTAACTTAGAATATCTTACCACTCCTTCGTTTGACGCCCATATTTTAATATTTCTTGTAATTTATGCATAGCTTAATTAAATTCGAATTTTAAAACAGCTGGCAACCTTACTAAAAATATTTTAAAGCCAAATCATTGTTAAAACTTTTTCTACTGACACACATATTGTGATAATATTTAAATTATGTAATTTCCTTAAGTCAAGTATATACTAATGCTGCGATCGGCTTATAAATTTATTTCTTGACCTGCAACATCTGTTTTTGGTCACCTTTTGTTACTGCGCGCATGCATTTGTTTGCAAAGTGTTTACGAACTGATTTTGTATGAAAACTCGTTTATGCCCATATATGTATTCTAGTCAAATTCGAATATATCAACCATTACTTCACCAAATTTGGAATTTTTTCCTTAAAATTATGAATTTTTCTTTAAAATCGCTTCATTATTTCTCGTAAAGGCTGATATTTGGCTAACCTCTTATCACTATTTAAATCTTACGAGTACGTGTAAATGTTTTCATTTTAAACCCACGGATATACGAAGAGCAAATTTACATTATACTAAAGGCGCCCATTTCGAACTGTTATCGATTTTTTCAATTTTATTTACAACCAACGGCAATAAAGTGCAATTATGCTAGCATTGTATGTAGTTGTTGATCGCAAGGTTCAAAAACTGGGGAAATCAACAATAGTTCAAAGCGATAAAATTTATTACTTCAAATTCGGAGGTCATCAAATCGCTTATCAGGCGTAGATAGACGTTTGGCTGGACTAAAACCTACTTCAGTCCTCATATCACCATTAATTCAATAGAAATGGTTCTTGAGATCGGCCGCCTTAGCAGAGTGTTATATAATTTGAAGGCTTCTAAAACAAACATCTGCCCTTCGGAAGTGACGTAAGGCTGTAGAACACTTAATTTGTGTAATAAAATCTAGTCGCGCACCACAAATTGGTGTAGAAGATCGACTATTTATCAGCAAAATGTGTGAGCACCAAAACAGTTAATAATATTTATCTGCTTGTGCTATCACTCGTTGGCAGCTATTAATTATATTTTGCATTGCAATTTTTCCCTTTTCAGTCTCCGTGTATGATTTTAATCTGAAGTATTTACTCGCATATATTATGCGCATTCTATGGATTTTAATCGCCTTTCTCGCATTATATATCTTTCCTCTTTTCAATTTACATATAGAACCCGCAAGTACCTAATAACCTTCACTAATGCCATTTACGGTACCTTAAGTGTTCATAAATCATAAATATTGGTGCCCTAGCTTGCTTATCTACCACTTAGGAGAACGTATTTAGGAAATAAAAAAAAAGCTGTTAAATATGGCAACAAAAAGTATGCGCTTTTGGTATACTAGAGTGGAGAGGGCATTAAAACGAGTATGTGCTTGTTTCTACAGTCTAATATTCCCAATCCAATTCTTTAGACGTGCTGATATTTTTAAGCTTCATCGCCGTCTTGGGAATCATTGCTCGACGAAAATTTATGTACAACGAATATGTATTCTTGACCCTGAATGAACATTTTCTTGTGCATATATATGTAAATATATTTTATATGTTTTTACGAGTACTTACATATATACATACATACGTACATGTATACCATTGTACTCAGAAATATGTAAATTATGTCACTCAAATGAATGTACGCATTTTTATATTCAATTAGCGTTTGATAGTAAATGATAACAAATATGTGAGACATATGGAAAAACTATTCGGTCACCGTAGGGCTGAAGGTTGTCTTAATTTAAGTCATCAACATAAGTAAATACGTAAAAATACATATATATACATAAGTACATATACATATGTAAGCCTGCGGGTAGGCGCGAGAATATACCTGCAGTAAGGCATGCTTGTCGTAAAAGGCGACTAAAATCCACTTGATGTGTGTGCCCCAAATGGCATTCGTGCGTCTCGGGAAGTAGGAGGATGGCTCTCTATTCGTCACTGTTCAGTCGGCTGTGTAGGCTCAGTTGAAGCGATCCTGACTAATACCGATCTGGCTCTGATTCAAGACCCCATAAGGGCTTGTCTCAACCCTCGCCATGGCCTCACTGTTTACATAGACAACCATGGGATCAAATAGGTAACTACGCATACGAATAGAGATAACGGCCCTGAGTGGAGACCCAACAATCAAAATGGATCAAATAAAACCATAAACAACAAAAACGCTACACCAAATAACTCGAGTTTGGAAATCTGTAGAGAAGGCGACTTAGATCCCTTTAAGAGGAGCTCAAAACTATCTCGCTCCCCTGTGACAACCCCAACGTGCGGAACTCCCCCAGTGGATGGGTTCCATAACTCTAACGAAGCGGGTCTGCCCGCAAAGCAACCAAAGGTTTTAGAAAACTTAGGAGTGGGAACCACATTTGAAAGGCTAGGGGCGCACATAAAATGTCTTGCGTCGATGCTAAAGGAAAAAGACGGAAAACGGCGTACTATCCACCAACCGATGAGAGACGTAATCGAGAATATCCGGTCTCTATACGAAAAGGCTGCTGCAGAAAAATGCAAGTGCAAAGATAACGAGGCAGTCTGTGTTATTGGAAGCACACAAACGTCGCCATGGCCAAGAGCAAAGCCTGGCTCCGTTCGGAGAAAAGCGGCTACTGAAGCTGTCGGCTCCCCGGCGAATAAACGCGGAAGGAACGGAGAAAGTCAACAGGGATGTCCACAACCCGTCGAAAACGGGCCTACAATGGATTCTACGGCCACAGTGCAAGCAAATAAAGACAGCGAGTGGACCGAGGTCAAAAAGAAGGAAAAACGGCCCAAACCGAAGAATGTTGCCACCACAGGAAAACTGAGGCCAGACGCTATCATCATAGAGAAAAAAGGTGAAAGCTCGTATGCCGACATCCTAAAAAAGGTTAAGAGTGATGAGAACTTTAAGAGTTGCGGGGATTCCGTATCCAAAATACGATGCACCCAGAAAGGCGATCTTCTTATCGAACTCGCTAAATCATGCCCAAAGTCGGCGGAATTAAAGGCCCTTGTGAGTGCTACCCTAGGGGACGAGTCATTTACTCACCGAATCCTGGTAGAATGTAAAGACATCGATGCGGTTACAACCAAAGAAGAGGTATACAATGCTATTAAATCATTGCCTGGTCTTGAAGGTATTGAGAGTTCAGATATAACTGGTCTGCGCCCTGCTTATGCTGGCACTCAAACTGCTACTATTAGCTTACCTGCTCCAAAAGCTAAGAAACTTATACAGCTTGGGAAAGTAAAGGTAGGATGGGTTAACTGTCGCATCCGCGAAAGGGTCCAGCTGAAAAAATGCTTTAAATGCCTTCAGTATGGCCACATGTCCCGTAATTGCGGTAGCACATTTGACCGGTCGAATCAGTGCAGAAAGTGTGGCACTGAGGAGTGTATTCTGTGTAGAGCGGAAAAGAGAGAGAACATAGGCCATATTACAGGCAGTTATAGATTCCCAGTTTTTAAGAAAGCTCTTACAAACAGGAAAAAATGAGAATAGTCCAAATAAACCTCAATCACTGTGAAGCAG